ATATATATATATATATATATATATATATATATATATATATATATATAGTATATATATGTAAAAATATATAAGTCGTCTTAAATCTTTCCCACTCTTACAATATTCTAAAAAAAAAATTCTAAACTCAAGATGCTTTAAAAGAGCAAAGAATGTCATGATTGCAGCTCCCTGCATCCTCTGCTCTTTGCCACCTGCAAGCGCTCTTGGCTACGCCCACATCTCCGCTTTGCACGCAGAACAGCTGATCAGCTGCAGCAAGAAATTTATCCTGCAGTTCTGTGCAGCAGGTGCTAAATCATTTTAAATAATTTATTTTAAATAAAAGATCCATGCCGATCGTGCGGCTCATCCATAAATCAGCCAGTTGTGTGTCATGTCCAATCTTATTTTGAAAATCCGCGATAGAGCCAGTCCGCGATAAACAAACCGCCAAGTAGCGAGGGACTGCAGTACATAAAAAGTAAGTTAATAACATTTATTATCTGAGGAGCGGACTGCTTTGAATTTAACTCCATCTCATACTCTCATCTTGAGCAAGCAATAAGGCGACAGTGGAAAGGACAAACTCCCTCATGAGGAAGAAACCTTTAGCAGAACCAGGCTCCTTTTTGTACACCTAGATGCAGCAACACACTGAAACAGAAGTCAGTACCTCACTTATTTTTTAAGTTATCATGCTCACAACATGCACTGACAGATGAAAGGACAGACAGATGCACAGAGGGTATTTACAATTCCCTCTCTTTGCTCTGAGATGAGGGACAAAATTACTAATTTTGCAGAAAAAAAAAAACATATCTAACAAAAAAAAAGATATTGCCTTAACAACAAAGTCCATGTTCAATAATCCAGGTATACAATCCAACATTTTTCAGTCAGGTGATCTGGACAGTTTCTTTTTTTGTGCTGAAATATTTCGCCTTCGATCCGGAAGGCTTCATCAGTCAAAGAAACAATCAGTTTTGTTGTGTTTCCTTGACTGATGAAGCCTTCCGGATCGAAGGCGAAACGTTTCAACACAAAAAAAGAAACTGTCCATATTTTGCCTTAACTCTTAAAATCAGTTTCTATAGCTGAAAATAGTTAATAAATTACCGTATATTTTAGCTAAATTAGCCTCAACATAATAATTTTATTTTTTTAATTTGTTTTGCACAGTGAAAATAAATCTCATATTTCACCACAAGGTGGCCCAGCTGAGGCCAGGCTGCTCTGACACTATCAGGAGGCATAAAGCCACATGGAGACATTCAGCAGAGCTGACAGTCCCTCCCACGTGCCCCATCTCCCATAGCCCATGGCAACTAGACACAGATCCGAACACAAACAAACGGGGGCTCCCTGATGCTTCCTCATGGCTGCTCGCAGCTAAAGACAGCTACTGGATCTCACGCACTTTTGTCTGTGTGTCAAAAACATTTCCACAAATAAGAGAAAACAACCCATAGAATCACTCGTCATGTTTACAAGAGTCTAAATGCCAATTTGTCCTTTAGTGATGCAGCATTCTGTGGAGTTTGTCAGTCACTGAACCAGCAGGGGATGCAGATAAAACACAACGAGGCACCTTTTTTTACATCAGCTTCACAATTTAATCATTTAACTTTTATTTTAAGAGCAAGTTATTATATTTTTACGTTTTCAGATTTTAAGATCTAAGTGAGTCATAGGTTTAATACATTCCAACAGCAAGCATTACATCAATGCCCCCCCCCCCCCCCGTCTTTGAGGGATTTGAATAGTGAATGTTTGTAGTTTTTGAGATGAGTGTTTTTCTAGGCTAGAACTGAATGGGGACTGTAAGTGGACCCTAATGGTTTTTTTTTCATTCAAACTTTATTTAGACAGGTAATTCCATTGAGCCTCGAGGACTCATTTACAAGAGAGACCTGATTTTGCTGCAAATGTTCAAGTGAGGAGTTACAGTGTGGAGAAGAAAAGTAGTTTTTTTTTTCTCGTTCGAGGCAGAGAAGAGTGACGGATCCTGGCGAGTGTAATTTTATCCACAACCAGGTGCAATAGTGGAGCCAGGGGGTGGCCAGTGGTGGGATTGGCCCTCATAGATTAATCTTCAGCCACCCCCAAGGACCACCACAATCATTTGATTAAAATATACTTTTGAACAACATTAAAAAAATGAGAAGTATTGCTCAGTTTGCAAATGCTTAAATGCTGGTGACCATCTTGGATTTTGACATGGCAACCCAACTTCCAAAAGGAACTTTTCTTACGCCTAGAAGCAACCACACACAAAAATGGAAGTTGGTACGACACTTATTTTCTAGTTATTGTCACAACATGCAACAACAGGTGGACCGATAGAAGGATGGACGGACAGAGGGTATTTCCAGTTCCCCCTCTTCGCCCCACAGAGGGGGGCGATTAAGGCATAGCAAAGCTTTTCTCATGCTGGTTTCCAGTCCTGAGTTTTAAACATAAACTATCTGATAGCTATTATTCTCGATTACCTCTGGTGGCCATCTTGAATTGGCTCAACTATCAAAGTTAATGACTTACAGACACACATCGATTACTTTCTGAAGGTTTCATTAAATGTTCATCCAGTGGTTCATGGGATATTTTGCTAACAGATAAACAGGGTTGCCATCAACAGTTAATGTCAAAGTTTTAGGGAAGACATCATGCAATATGTAGTGCTAAAAGAATGTGTTGGGATTGAAAATCAGGCAGAACTACACTTAAATGTCCTTAAAATTGTCTGTGACCAATTTTGTGTTTGTAAGTTGGCATTGGTGGCCATCTTGATTTGAATTGACTCCAAAAGCTCAGTTGTAAACCAACATCCTAAGATCACTTTTTGAGTGTTTGATTAAAATCCATCTAGAAGCTCATGAGACGTTCTGTTAATGTACAGTAGTCCCTCGTTTATCGCGGGGGATCTGTATCCTGAAGCCCCCCGATAAGTGAAAAACCGTGAAGTAGGAATAGTAGTACAAGTAGTAAGTAGTAATTTATTTTAGTATTCATATATATATATGTAGCAGCACGGTGGCACAACTGGTAGAGCTGCTGCCTCTCAGCGAGCAGGTCCTTGGTTCAAACCCCGGTCCAGGGGCCTTTCTGGGTGGAGTTTGCATGTTCTCTCCGTGCATGCGTGGGTTTTCCCCAAGTGCTCCGGTTTCCTCCCACAGACCAAAAACATGCATGTTAGGCTGATTGGTAACTCTAAATTGTCCCTAGGTGTGAGTG